CGTGTGCGTGTGCGTGTGCGTGTGCGTGTGCGTGTGCGTGTGCGTGCGCGTGCGCGTGTGCATGTGCGTGTGCGCGCGTGCGTGCGTGTATTTGTTAGTCGGTAGAGGATGAGAGTGCGTGGGAGAGGGCGATGTTAGCTATAGGTCGATGCCGCGTGTATCACACCTGGGCGACTCACAGTGCGTGCCTTTAGCTCCGTTATTACCTCGCTAATTTGTTTGCGTTCTTATTGATGAGCCGCCAGTGCTGGCAGACAGGTACGCGCGTGACAGTCCCTGTGCACAGGTATGTACAGGTATGTACAGGTGAGAGAGCGAGAGGAAGCTACCTCATGCATCCTCCTTGCCATCAGCAGACCGGAAGCAGCGGAGAGGCGGGGGAGGGGACGCGCATGCGCAGTGAGCACTTCGCAGGACGCCAGCGGCAACGCTGCGCGTGGAAACGTACCGAATTACAACGCAATGACAACAACTTGTGTACACAGAGAAGTCAAGTACAAAGCACCGACTGGCCATCCAACCCCATGCAGTCACCAAGCACGCACGCACACACACACACATGCACGCACGCACGCACGCTAGATCGAATAATGCATTGTGTATGAATTGCCACATTGCAATGTAAATTATTACAGCGTTAGCTAACTACAAATAAATAAATAAACAAGTAACGAAAAAACTTAAAAACAATACAAATAAATAAATAAACAAGTAACGAAAAAACATAAATAAGTAAATAAATAAATAAATAAACAACTTAATGTAAGTAACATAAATGGGTATTTGTCTGTAGGTGGTAGGTAATGTATATATTACAGAGATACCAGGTAATATATTTGTGTATAGGTAGTAGGTATAATGTATTTATATATAGGTGGCCGGTAATGTATTTATAAATAAATGGCGGGTAATATAATTGTATATAAATGGCAGGTAATGTGTTTGTATATAGGGAACAGGTGAGCTGTCATCGAGGGGGTGTTAACTTCAAACAACCCAGCGCAGAACAAACACACACACACAACAGCAAATAAAAATGGCGGCGATGGTAAAACACAGCCTTACATCCGTTAGGAATATGAGAGCGGGTTGTGCATGTAGCAGTCAGTGGTGTGCACCTTCATATTTATGGTCATTTTCGCAGTGAATGGCACATATGTAACGGGTCTGTACATGGCCAGAGTGGCAGTTGTCTGTAGCCATTCACCGCCATACACCGTATATACGCATTACAACTTCTATAAACATATTATATTATATGACTCATATATATAGTCTCACACACACGCGCGCGCGCGCGCGCACGCACACCACACACACACACACACACACACACACACACACACACACACACACACACACACGCGCGTTATATAGGTGACCATGTAGAGATATAGGAGCATTGTGTAGGCGGCTGGAATAAGTAAATGTTATAAATATAAGTTAATAAAAGTTAATTAAAGTTCTGAAATGGGTATTATGTGTATCGTAACCATTGACCAATATATATATATATATATATATATATATATATATATATATATATATATATATATATATATATATATATATATATATATCAAGAGTACATAATAGAGAACATAAAAAACGCTGTTAAAACGGTGTCATACTCTTCTCTATTATGTACTCTTTATACTATTCTAACGCATGCAATTTTCTATACCAGCGCTGATATCCACATATCTACAGCCCCCACATCACGCATAATCTCTATACTCAGGCACCTATATACGCAAGCATACCAGAGTACACCAGCTTGATACTATGTCAACACAGGCACACATATACCATTATCACCGCGCACATACACTCTACGTACACAGGCACATACATCGCTAGCTCTTGAACTATAACCCTTCGCTCTGCCACAGGCCTGTGACAGAGCGAAGTGCTATATACATATGATACTATATACTATAGTTCTAGAGCTAATGCATCGCTAGCTGGCTATGTCGTCACACATCTATATACTGACGTACCGCTGCACACTGCACAGGTGTATGAGAGCTTACCCTTGTTACGTACGCGCGGTCAGCAACAGCGGCGACGGCGGCGACAGCGGCGACGGCAGTGATGACGATTTCACGGGCGAGTCGGCGACAGTATAACGTTAACGGCAGACGCAGAGAGCGATGTGACGTGCCTGCCGCACAGCCGCGCTATGTATATCTGTCTGTCTCGGCTACAGCTGACTGACTACACACGGCTCTGCAGGTTGGGCGGACGGATGGGTAGGCAGGCAGACGGACAGACGGGGCAGCAGGCAGGCAGGCAAGCGAGCAGACAGACAGACAGACAGGTAGACAGGCTAGCAGGTAGGCAGGCAGGCGGACAGACGAACGGACAGACAGGCATGCAGGCAGGCAGACAAAAATGCAGGAAGGCAGACAGGGAGGGAAGAAGGCTAGTGTGTGTGTGTGTGTGTTTGGTGTGTGTGTGTGCACGCGGGGCGGGCTGGGGGTGGTTGGTGGGTGTATATACCGGTCGGTCGATCCGTATGATTTATGACGGAAAGAACGGTGTCAAAAACAGCAATTGTGCATACTGCCCTCGGCATGTTTGTAGACGGGGTGGTGGCGGGGTGGCCACTGCGCCCCTGTATGTACGTGCGTTCAGCTTTACTTGTGCGTGCGTGCGTGTGCGCGTGCCTGTGTGGGTGTGCGCGCGTGCCTTCGTGCCGATGTGGGTGTGCGTGCGTGTTCGTACGTGGAAGTATGCGCATGTATGCTGTGCGTGTCAGCGCGCGTATATAATGTGCACCTGTGCACGTGTGTGCATGCGTGCGTGCGTGCGCGTGTCGCACGCAATACACGCATTATGGCGACAATCGCTAATAAAATGGTCTGTTTACTACTACTCATTTATACTCCAGTCACGTACGTATACGTAGGTGTATGCTAACCATATACCTGGTTATAGCCACAGCTTTGTCTTCTACGGAGCTCTCTCCCTCTCTCCCCCTCTTTCTCTCTCTCCCTCTGTGTGTGTGTGGGTGTGTGTGTGTGATTGGTCAGGGGGTATCTCAGCATCGATTTCTGTAATAAATTGTTATCAGTAGACCTGTGTTTATTACCCTGTAGGGTGCAAACCTCCTACTTCATCCCCGCCCGCCCTTCCCCTTATCTCCCTTGTCGCACGCTCAGCCTCCTTCTTCTTCCACCGCCCCTCGGCTGTCTTCCCTGCTACCTTCACCCAGACTCCCACCCCTCGCTCCTGCAGCAAGCTATAGTACGTACTTTTATTTAGGCAGTACTGCACGTCTGAAACGGTGCTCGCGCATGCGCAATATCTCCCGAGAAGAAAAATATTTTGCCAAAATTATGAATTTAAAATGAAGATGGGTTATCCCAGCATAGATTTCAATAATCATATTCCATCAGTAGGGTGTTACTAGAACACGGGCGTCGAAAGAGGGTGCCGTTACGTGGCAGTACTAGTCACTTTGTACGCTTCAAAGTCCAAATCTTCCACAGAAAGATTCCACAATCATACTTCCGTGCTAGACATGGCCTTATTTCCCTAACCCTAACCCTAACCCTGACCCTAACCGTAATCCTAACACAAGTGCAGCCACATCACGTGACCCTCCTTCGACGCCCGTGTTCTAGCAACTCCCCCATCGGTAGACCTCACGTATGAAATAGGAAGCAGACCTTGCATGTAAAGGTAGGGGCACACGAGCGATTTTTATCGCCCGATCGCCGCGAATTTTAAAATCGCTCGAAAAATTCGCCCGTGTGCCCGTTCACGTCGACGCCGATTTTAATCGCCCGTACGAATCGCCCGTATCCAAAATGTTATGCTAGGGGTACACGAGCGTATTTTATC